TTTCCTGTGTCTCTGATGCTTCACTTGCACAGCCCAAGTGAGAAAATGCCTCCTTTGGTCACTGATAAATCAAAGCAAACCCAAGGGGACAGAGTTGGAATACTCATACACACACACAGTGCTTGGTTTCAGTGTTCACACTAAGTAGGAAACCCAGCAGTGTGCTCTTCAGCAAGAGCAACCCCATTCCTTTACTTGTTCCATCCCCATAACAAAATCAAACATGGAGCACTCCATGTTCTTGCTGATCCAGAGTGCTTATGGCCCAAGTGCAGGTGCAGAGCTGGAGCTGCTCTGCTGCCTCCTCAGCACGCGCTCCTGTCGGGAGCTGAGGGCAGAGTCTTGTAGGGGTTGAGGATCCCTTTGGGGTCCAGCATGGCTTTGAACTGCTGCATGAGCAGCACTGCCTCGTGGGGTTTGCTGTAGTGAATGAAGTGTCTCTTCTTGAAGCCCAGCCCGTGCTCTGCACTGATGCTCCCACTGCACCTCGCAGTCCACTCGTACACGAAGGGCTCGATGGCCTCCAGCAGGGAATGGCTGTAGGACTCTGCAGTGATGTTCAGGTGCAAGTTCCCATCTCCTGGAAGAAAACAATGCACAGATGGGTCTGGGAGAACAACCTGGTGGCCCTGCAATGGACACTCATTCCTGCTCTCAAACAACAGGGCCTTTGTTAGTCTGCAAACTGCAAAAAGGACAAGCTCGCTGTCCTACAAACGTCAGCCTCTCCGTGCACAAATAATTCAAATAGGATCTTTGCTTTTCCATGCTCCAAGTGCAATATTTGAGGAAAGGTTCTGAGTTAAGCTACTTTCAAACTCCAACTTTTGTGATTTTCAGATTCCCACTGTGCTGCATTAATGTTTGTGCCACCACCGTGATGCAATGACAAAGACTTGCCCAATGGCATTTCATAATGATTATTAGATTTTAACATGGTCCTTCATCACTTTTTCTCTCCCTATTATGTTTGTGCAATGCTCTAAATGTGCTTTGGCACTGTGTCAATAGAAACAAAGAAAGCAGAACAATTTCTCCTTTTGCCACCGTGTGTGACAGTATTTGATTAAGCAGAGTTGCTGGGTACTCCAAAAGACAAAACACACAAAGAAAAATACAATTTGCTCATCCTCCTCCTGCATCCTAGCAAACCCTCACTGCACACAGCTTAGTCCTCAAAGAGCTACCAACAGGAAGCCTTTGTTATGCAACGTGTCTTTCAAATGATCCCTAATCAAGTGTGCTCAACAGTGTTCCATGGGTTTTTTTTTGTAACAGAACAGCTCTCCTAAATTACCAGTTTACCTGCTTGTAAAATCAGATTAGTTTCCCAGCAAGCTACAAATCTATCAGCCTTTCTGTGCATTTATCATTATTCTCTGTTGGAGGGTTAATGGCTCACAAAAACCAGATTTTCAGTAGGATTAATCACTTTGGACAATAAAGTGGATATCTGCCAAATGTGTCTAAGTTCATCAACCAAATTGATGGTCCAATTGAACAAATCACATATTTAAATAGAAAGTACACAGCAAGAATATACAGATGACCAGTTCCATGGCTCACTGGCCAGCAACCTGCCATCAGTATATGGAAAACAGTCTGAAAGCAGTGAAATTCAAACACAAAGATCCTGATGCACCCTCCTCTTCCACAGCCATCAATTTAAGCCTCTCACCCACAGCACAGAAGGGCCATCATCTCCTTTCCCAGCACCCTGTGGCATTCACATTCTCTGACAAAATCCCTTTGCCCAGGATTTTTCTCCTGGGAAGCCTCAGAGAAAAGGAAAACAATTCTTATTTGCTTCTCCTCTGTTTTGCTCATTGGAATGTGTTTGGACATTGTTTATCCACAGGTGATTGTTTTGCTGGATTCTGGTGTGAGTTGTTTTGGCTCATTGGCCAATTGGGGCCAAGCTGTGTCAAGACTTTGGAAAGAGTCACGAGTTTTTATTATTATCTTTTTAGCATTGTGTAAGTATCCTTTCTGTATTCTTTAGTATAGTTTAGTATAGTATAGTGTATAGTATAGTACAGTATAGTGTATAATATAGTATAGTATTCTTTAATATAACATAGTATCATAAAGTGATAAATGAGCCTTCTGAGAACATGGAGTCAGATTGGTCATTCCTGCCTTTGTTGTGGCATTCCCTGCAACTCCAACACACCCCCACTTACCCAAGTGGCCATAGCCCACCACGTTTTTGGCACTCTGGCCCAGCCGAGCCCTCATGTCAGTGACAAGGTCATAGAGCTTCCCCACAGGCAGGGAGATGTCGTACTTGTACACGTAACCCTCGTGAGTGAGGGCCTCGGTGATCCTCTCCCGCAGGCTCCACAGCACCTGAGCAATGAAGGACCACAGAAATCCAATTAGCTCTTGGGTTCCATGCATACACCAAGAACACCTCCCTATATAAAACACAAATCCACCCAAAGAGATTTGTGGGAGAGGAAACACTGACTCGCCTTTATTTTCTTCTCGTCCGTTGCCACAGTTCCATCAGTGACCAAACCAGAAGCCATGGCCCGCTCTAGGAAGTTGTGCAATTTTTCTTCATCATGAGTTGAGTTGGAGCCCGAAGTTTCAATTAAAACATAAAAAGGGCTGTCTGAGAATAAGAGTAAACAAAGTAAGTAGATGCCCTGGGGCAAAACAGAAGAATTCAGGGCAGGTTTTGGAGCTTTCCCCACATGTTATGTGCCCAGACACCCTGGTGCCACAGAGAGCACTTCACTGACATGCTAGATCTTTTATTAAGCAACCACTTCCCAGAAAGCTAGCAGTTTTGTGAGGACAAATACAAGTAAAAAGTCTCATCTTAAAAGATCAAAGGTGTTTGGAATTGATATACTTGATACAAAAATTATGACGGACGCCCACACAATCACCAACCTTTTAAAAGTCAGTGAGTCAACTTTTAAAAATGAGTCATTTTTTAGAAGTGTTTAAAAGTAGTCTAAAAATCCCCAAGAAGGGGATTCCCTGCCCCTTTCTGCAGTGTGAATATCGCTGGTACCTGCCACTGGGCTGGACAGCTTGAGGTGTGTCTCAACCAGTTCCATGCACTTCTCATCCATGAACTCGTAGGCAGACAGGATCTCACCCAGCATGGCTCTGCAGGTTGTGAATGTTTCCAGAACCTTGGCAAAACTCTGACACCCTTCAGACAGAACAAACAGGAATCAGGACCAAAAAAACAGACACCACCCCAAACCCTCCGCAGGTTTCTGAGAAGTAAAACAACCTCAGTGAAGGTTCCCCACAGAGAACTCTGGACCTGCTGAGGGACATCCAGAAGCAGCTTTTAAGCAGCCTGGCCACATACTGATCCAGAGCCTGACCTGCAGATGTGATTTCTCAGCCTTGCCTCATCACCTGGTCACTCACCTGACTCCTGGATGGTGGCTGCCTCTGCCTGCTGTCACAGTTTTGTCCTGCTCATCTCCTGAGCCTGTCAGACCAAGCCCTCCCTCACCAGTGAGGGGACTGTCCTGTCTGCCTCCTCACCCTGCTAAGCTCTTGGCTCCACTTTCCTTACAGAACAGCCTGCCCTTGCAGATATTTCAAGAGATATTAAATATCTGCACAGGTATTTTAGCACAGAGCCCTACACTATTTCCCAGAACCAGCTGATGCTGGCAGTGCAGCTCAGCAGGCTGAGCAATGCTTTCTCCTCTCTATCCCTACTCCCAGCCTTTGAATTCAGGTGTGAAATCATTCATTTCAGCTTCTACCTAGGAATGCCACATTCACAGCCTTAGGCCTCTGAGGACAGAGGATGGAGACAGCAGTGATAACTCCCAAGGTGCCCTCGGATCCGATGAAGAGCTGCTTGAGGTCATAGCCCGTGTTATCTTTGCGCAGAGAGGTCAGGCAGTCCAGAGCTGAGCCATCAGCCAGCACCTGTGGGAACAGGGGCCCAGTCAGAGCACCTGATAGTGATCTGTTGCCTGTGGCAATGAACTTATCACCAAGTGATGGGAAATGTCACTGCCCTTGAGCTGCAGCCCACTCCCACACTGCTCCTCCATTCCCAGCTCTTCCCCTCTCTATATCCTACCCAAGTAGGATAGAGTAGGTATTTCCCTCCTACTTCTTTCCTTCCATCAGGACAAGTAGTAACAGAAGTTTGCTCTGCTTTTCTTACTAATGGTGCAGAAGAACAGCCACTCTCTGCAGCCCTAGCTCCCACTATTCAGCAGAAACAAGGGAAGCTACTCGAAACAGTGAACAGTTAAGCAGAATGAAGTAAACCCTCTGCCACTTGAGCCTTAAATTAAGGCTGAGTATCTCCAAGACAGGTTATTAAAGGCTATTTTGACATTAGAGCCAAACTGACCTCAGACAAATGCTCTCCCTTCTAAGTCTACACAGAAAAACAAAGCCATGCTTTTGTTCTGAGCAAATTTTGTCTCCAGCCATGAAAACTTTTAGAACTCCTAATCCAGCCTTTACATCCCAAGGCACTCACCAGTAGGACAGGAGCAGCTGAGGAGCAGCAGAGACTCTAGGGCAACCAGCAGCCAAATGAACCCCAAACACACAACTATGTTATGGGGTGGACTTTAAACCCTAAGACAATCTCCAAAGTCCCATCCAACACAAACCAGTTTGTAATCCTATGATTCTATTAAAATCTGAGTGAGCAGCCACCAGAAGAGAGTGATGCAGAATGGATTTAGCAGAGTGTTCCAGAGAAACCAACTCCATGCAGATAACCTGGGATGCCCCAACCTTTCCCTACCTTCTTTACCTCTGTCAGCAAGCACTGGAAGTCAGGAAGCTGGAAACTGCAGCAGCAATAACATGCTACACACATGAAGACGTGCTGGCCCTTCTCAGAAGAGCCCACCAAGGAAAAGAGTGGGAGCCTGGAGAGGAACGTGGCAGTGTGCTGGACAGTTACAGGAGCAGGAAGCAGCACAGCAGAGGATGACACAAGAAGGGAGCTGCCAGGTACTCGCCTTACCACTTGCAGGCCCAGCACGGTCCCTCGCAGAGAGCCGTACCTCAGGAGCCGCAAGCCACCGGCGTTGGTGGCCACGTTGCCCCCGATGTGGCAGCTGCCCTTGGCTCCCAGGTCCAGGGGCATGATGAAGCCCTGCTCCTCCAGGTACTCACTGAGACTCTCCAGCACACAGCCTGCCTGGCACACAAGGATTCCTGCAACACAAACACCACGCTACAAGCTGATGGCCAAGAAGAAGGTGCTTCCTCAAGAAGCAGGAGCAGTTTGAGCTGATACAGACACCACTTTCTTCAAAACTTCTTGGGATTCAGTTTAAATGCACAAATCTGTGCAGGCTCCAGGGAACTGCCCCCTCCTCAAGCCTCAGGGAGCTTTGATATTACCTCAATATCTCATCACCCACATCTCTGGACTGGTAAAACACAGGCACACTAAATGCATCTCTGCCTGTTGTTCTCCCTCTCTGAGCAGAGATTCTCACACCAGCCTGACCCCCCAAACCCAAACAAACCTCCTTATGAAGCTGCTGGGCTGAACCCTGCTGCTACCTGTTCCCAGGAAAATGCCTGCTCTGTGGCCTGGGGCTCATTTCTGTGCTTCACATCCCTGGAATATTTACCAGACACCTTGTCAAAGCTGATGATCTGGTTCATGAGAGCAGTGGAGAGAATGATCTCATCAAAGACAGGAACGCTGCCCCCAACAAGGCCTGTGTTTCCTCCCTGAGGGTTCACTGCCAGGTTCCTCTCATGGCAGTACCTGGAAGGAAAAAGGTTTCTGGATTTTTATGCATTTAAAAGGCACAATCAACCTGTCAGAGAAGTTTCACCTCTGCATGAATGTTGACTGTTGTGACAGCACTCCTTAAAATTAAGCAGCATTTCACAGAAAGATGAAATTGATGGAAGGAGAGCGTTTCACTGGCAAAGTGAGAAAGAGCAACTCCTGTCTGAACTCAGCCCAGGGCTGAGAAAAGAACCAACACCTGAGGTTAGGCCCCTGTGGATCTACACATCTGGCACACATCTGCCTGGAAAGCACTGCTTATGTTTCTACAGCAGTCTGTTTTAACAGCTTGGGCTCCTCAGCCATCCTCTGGCAGTGCTTTCAGACATGACTGCCCCCCTCATTCCAAGAAATTTATGTCCTGTAGGTGACAAAATGTGCACCTGTGCCTCTGCTGCTGCACCTGCCACATCCCTGCCAGGCAGCACCCAGCACATCCCTCTGAGCTCACAGCAGCTCCTGCACAAGGGATGGCACAGAGCCCATGGCACCAGAGCTCCTTGAGCAGCCCTGCCTGCCCTCCCTGTGCCCTGCATCCCTGTTCCAACAGAGCCAGGAGCACATTCCTGCAGCTGTGAGCTCCTCAGCCAAGCAGTGATCTGCCACAGCACTGCCCAACCAGGGCTGTGCTCTCACCTGTGTGAACAAAACAGACCCTCAAACTGCCTGGTTCTGCCCTAACCTTCTTCACCTCTTTAAACAGACCTTCCTGAATCTTTTCACAAAACTGGTCTTTTCTGAGCACCTGTACAATACCTAATTTTAGCTATTTATCAGAGCAGAAAAGTCATGAAGAAAACTAACTCAGCAACATAAGGAATTAGTGTCTGAACACCTACCAGCTCCCTTCAGGTGCTGGATCATCCCTGGCTGAACCCAAGCCCAGCAGAAAAGGTGTGTGTTACCTGAGAATCTGAGACACCTCTGCCGTTGTCTGGGGCTTCAACACCAGCTGGCTGCAGCCTGCAATGAAAGCAAGGGACTCTCAAGGCAAGCTGTGGCTCTGCAGAGGTCAGAAAGAAACAGGGGGGAAAAGATGAGGTGGGAAATAACAATGCTCCCTCCACTGTTTGGCATTTCAACCACTTTGACAACAAACACTTCAACAGCAGCCTTTCCCTTTAAGCCCTGCAAAAAACTTTGCATGTATAGGTAGACTTGGCTGCTACTGGGGGCAGTGGGAAATGGTTTAAATTCTCATGAAATCTTTGAGAGAAGAAACAGAGAATTCACAATGCATGATTTAGAATCATGGGATGATTAGGGTTGGGAAGGACCTAAAAGCTTATCTCATTCCACGGGCATGGAATACCCTTCCACTGTCCCAGGCTGCTCCAAGCCCTGTCCAACCTGGCCTTGAACACTGCCAGGGACGCAGGGGCAGCCACAGCTGCTCTGGGCACCCTGTGCCAGGGCCTCAGCACCCTCACAGGGAAGAATTTCTTCTCAATATCCCATTTAACCCTGCCCTCTGGCAGTGGGAAGCCATTCCCCCTTGTCCTGCCACTCCCGGCCCATATAAAGTCTCTCTCCTTCCTTTTAATAAATCCCCTTAAAGTACTGAAAGGCTGCAATAAAGTCTCCCAAAAGCTTTCATATTCTTTTGTGAGGTTCAATCAAAACTGTTAGCTGAATCAACTAATCTCAGGAAAAAAATTATTAAGTTAGAGGGTTTCGATTTTTTTGTTTTAATTTTTGAGAAAGTCTATAAGTTTTCCAGCTATCAGGTAATTCTTAGAGGAATAATTTTATGAGAAAAACTCATTTTGGGTGCGCAGGCACTCATCTGCTCTGTGGTGACCAGTGACAGGACCGAGGGAAGAGCTGGAGCAGTGTCAGGAAAGAGTTAGGGTGGATATCAGGGAAGGTTCTTCCTCCAGGGAAGGCTCCCCAGGGAATGGGCACGGCCCCAGGGCTGCCAGAGCTCCAGGAGCATTTGGATAACACTCTGAAGCACAGGGTGAGATTGTCGCAATGTGTGTGGACTCCATAATTCTCATGGGTCCCTTCCAACTCTACGGCCTGTACAGATGCGATCCGCCATCAATAAAGATAAGCTTTCCTTTAGCAAACTCCTTAACTAACAGAGGCAGGGAGGAGGTTTCACCCCGCAGCTCGCTTACCTCGCACCGACTTCAGCCAGTCCACATTAAATGGCTTCACCTCCTCCTCTCCGGTGATGACCCTGCCGGGCATGAGGCGCTCGAAGAACGCCACATCGCCATCGGCCAGCCGAGCAAAGGGCAGCCTGCGCACCGCGTACCGCTCGCAGGTCGGCACCACCTCCCGGGAGCCAGCACAGCCCCTGGCCCGGGGCACACCGGGGAGCTCCCGGTTCGCTCGGCAGCTCCTCAGCCAGGCGGCCCCGCGGCGCCACACCACTGCGGCAGCCATGGCAAAATCCGCGGCTCCGCTCCGTGAGGGCAGCGCGGCACTGAGGGCAAACGAGGCTCTTCCGCTACTCCCACCGCGCCACGCAGCCTCCTCAGCGTGGTTTAGCGCGGACCGGGAGGGAAAATTCAGAATTATGCCGGTAAAACGGAAGATTCCAAGGACGCTCCGCGGCGGGGACGCGCCTCACTCCGAGCCGCCAGGGGGCGCTGCTGCCCGCCGCGATGAGCGGGAACGCGCTCAGCGCGCGCGGGCGGCAGCGCCCCCTGGCGGCCGGAGGCTGCAACAGCACCCCCTCACATTTATTCCCGCCAAAAATAACACATTTATTCCCAAAAATACTTTATTTATAATATAATCCAACATCTCCAAGATCCAAAAATACAGATATACATTTTTTTTCTTTTAAACTTTACATTCCTTAATTTTTTGGGTTTTTTTTCGGGAACTGGGTGAAAGTCGGTACGGACCTCCAGTTTGGATGAGCTGCAGTAAAGCTGGGCCCCCCCTCTTTGTGTGGGGTTTTTTTTTTTTTTGGGGTAATGTTTAGTGGGGTATTCCTTTTGTAGGAAATATTTTAACACTGTACATTCAAAAGTCAGAAGGTTTCAATCTTTTAGTAAGCAAAAATGAAGGCTGCTGGTATTTCTGTCTACAAGGAGTTGTAAAAATTCTCTACAACCAGGTGTAAAAGGGCAGGAGATGCTCCTGAGCCCATCCAAGCCCTGAACTGGCATGTTCCCAGTGGGAGAGTTTATTGCTGGTATCAGATCTCAGATGCTTTACACATCACAGGTGTTAAAAAGAACAGAATGTTGTACCTCACACCATTCATCATTCCTAGCAAATTATCCTTCCTTTTGAAGGCTCTACCTTCCAGAGCTTGTTTTCCTTTTTGCTTAGATGGCTCAAGTAGAAAATGCTATTCAAAGCCCCAAAAGTACTATTAAAAATGTATTTTGTTATCCTACCTGACCAGAATTTTAGAGCTGAGGGAAGTCAGCCTCACACTGGCTCACCCAGAGCTGCTCCCTTCCCTCATGGCACATTTCCAGCAAGATCTACAGAGTGAAATTTTGAGATTGTTTCCAATCAAATGCTTAATCCACAGCAATGCCAGTACTAACAAAGCTTAGAAAAATCAGGAAGAGAAATTGCCCTACAATACCATTGGGTGGGAGGGGAAAACAAACCCTGGTACAGCATCAGGGACTGGATTACAGGCTGGCTCATGAGGTATCACAAATTTGCTCTCATGAAGAGGCAGGAAGAAGAAGAGGGCTCACTGAACCCCAGGTTTGTGTGACTGCTGTTCCTCCTCATTCCATCCAGCACTCTGGCTTTAATTTCCCTGCCTGCTTTCCATGTGCTGCTCTGAGGCAGAAATGACAAATGTGTATCAAAAATGTGCATTTTCGTGCACAGAACTGTGGGAACTTCATCTCTCTGTGATACAATGCAGTAAAGACACCTGTAACATCACACTGGAAATGACATCACCCTGAAGACAGGGATTTTTGCCTAAAATCCATCCTTTTTTCCTGCCATAAATCAATGTCCACAGAAAAGCTGCCACACAATTGAGAAATTTCTTCTATGTCAGCAGCAGGCACAAAGTCCCACAGAGGGAAGGAGAGGTGGCAGGAGCTGTGTTCTACTTTCCTTCATTGCAAAACGTGAGTAAGAGGCTCAGTGTAAGAGGAAAAGCCTTCTTTCTTTTGAAAACAGGTGCCAGAATCTGAGTAGAAGTGTTTTTAGTCTTCTGTGCTGTTTTTTCAGCAGAAGAAAAGTTTATCTGGGAGTTTCTTGGTGCCTTTCCAGCAGCCTGTACCAAGAGCTCCTGCACACTGGGATGGAAAGCAGCACACAGCCCTGCACAGAGCTGCCACCAACACCCACTGGGGACCAGAGCCAGCAAAGTTCACGAGTTTGGGGCATTTTTTTTCCCTCCTTTCACCAGCAGGAAGGAAACATGGAATACCTTCCCCACCACATCTTTCACTGAAGGCAGGGAAGCCTCATGATGCAGGGGACAGATACAAAAGCAAGACTTATCTCTGCTCTTCCCTCAACTTCTGTATCTCAGAGGAGGAAAACACAGATTTTTGCTTTCCAGCTCCTGATTTCCTCTCTCTCTTCTGCTGCAGCCACTGACACTGTGCTAATGCAAGGATTCACATTCATCATCTGAAAGGCAGCTAAGGAAGTCAAGAACATGCAAAATGTGGCCAATTAAAAAAAAAGACAAGAAGCTCTGTTAGAACATTCCTGATGGCCTTCTTCAACAGCAGAGCCACACCATCATGGGAACAAACAAATATCCTCATAGAGCCTTTCCCTAAAACCTGATTTCCTGATTTACCCATGTGCCACGCAGGCAATCACAGCTAACAATTCAGGCCTTCATCTTATTTGGTGAATAAATCCAAACTTCTCTCTCTCTCTCTCCAAGAATACTGCAGGTTTCATCTTCACAGTGATGTACTTAAAGAATCTTCAGGGAAATGGAAACAGCCAGAAAAGGCAACACCCTCCCTCAGTATTATTGTGCAAGACTAACATAAATAAAATCTCCGTGGCAAAGGGATTTGGGACTCCCTCCCAAAGTCATTGTCTTAGGAAAGAACAGGAATTTCAACTGGCCACTGGATAATTAAATATCATACCAGAAAAAGATGGAGGATAGACTAACAAAAAAGAATCAAAGGTAATATTGCAACATGAATGAAGGAATATATTAAATTCTTCTTGCCTCGGCGCTGTATCCCTCTCTACTCCTTACTTCTTTTTCTTTCTTTCCTGAACACAACGAGGACAAAACCTGTAGGGAAAAAAAAAAAAAAAAGAGGCAGTAATTAGCTCCTGAAATTACAAGCACAGAGCCTGAGAACTGTTTTTAACATTTGTGCACAATTAAGCCTTGTTTCTGACAGGTAATTTGTTAATTTGATTAAAACAGTCCATTAAACAAGCCCACAATCCTTTCCAGGATAAGCATATAGTAAAACCCTGACAAGTCTTCAAAATTTGCCTCAAGAAGTGAAACAAAGAAGCACCTGGGTCTGTTTTAGGCACAGCCACAAGTAGTGACAATAGAGCAAACCTCAAATGAAACATGTCCCTGTTTACACAAGCCTCAGGTCAAAACCTGCTCTGTTTATCAGGCGGTTTTGCTCCCATCAGTACCTAAAACTTCTGTAGAAATAGATTTTAACAAGACGGTTTGTCTTTTATCTTCTACTCTCAAATGAATCCCCAATCACAGAGGATGCAAACTGTCAGGGTCACAGCAGGGTTTTAATCCTTGTTGAGGCAAACTGCAGCCTGATAAAAACCCCAAAGCTGAATGCTGTCACACTCACCATTTCCCTTTTGGTTTGGTGGTCAGGTCCACACATGCAAAGTGGAACCACTCGATTGGGCACTGCAAAAGAGAAAGGAAAAACCCACAGAGGAGATTGTTAGTGGCTCACAAACATTGCCATCATTTGGTAGGAGCTAAGTGAGCAAGGACTAAGCTAACTGAGCAAGGACCCCCTCCTTGGGCGGTACAGGGTTGGGAGGCAACAAACACCTGGAAATCAGTAATTTCTCAAGTGCTTACATCTGGGTTGTCACAGCCAATCATCTCTCCATAGGACACCTGGTGACACAGGCAGTAGGTGGGCTCGTTGGGATCCACTGGCATGTCCAGGACGTCTGAGGGATGCACTGACAGGATGGTGTCAGCAAACTCAGACCTGTGGGCGAGGACAGAGTCAGGACAAAACACTTCTCAACTGCAGACAGCACTGTGTTACAAGGGCCTGGCTCCCCACTGCCAGAGGGAAGGGTTAGATGGGATACTGGGAGGAAATTCTTCCCTGGGAGGGGAGGGAAGCCCTCCCGCTTTTCCAGGCAACCTGGGCCTCCCCATTCCTGAAATGCTCCTGGCCAGACTTGGAACAACCCAGGCTGGTGGAAGGTGCCCCTACCCACTGCAGGAGATGGAATGGGATGGTCTTTAAGGCCCCTCCAAACCCAAATCATTCTGGGATTTGATGTTTCCAAGATCCAAATCCTATTTGGGAAAATAAGTGTTGTACAGTATCTTCCCTAAACCACACTGAGCCTGTTTTAGAGTTTGCATTACATTACCACAATCCAGTAATTAAAATCACAAGGTAGGTTGGATCAAACACAGCATGACTGGAAAGAACTAAGAGAGGGATTTGTAGCTGTCAGGAGTAAAGTAACAAATTATCATGCAGATCACTCCTGGTTGTGTTTACAATAACCTGTTTGGGGTTTTTCCTCAACCTGTTTCAATACAGATTTTTTCTCCTTATCAGGCATGAGTGAACCCTCTTACCCTGACAGGGATGTGCTGACATGCCAGTAGCAGTCCATAGAAACTACTTTTAGTTTCTTGTCACCTGAAAATATCATTATAAACCAAGCCCCTACAATATAAATCCCATCTCAGAGAGGGGACAAGCTTTCCTCATTGCCTTTTAAACCCAAACAGATTATTCAAGGCTACCTGGGACACAATCCTGTGAAAACAACCCCCCAAAATTCTCAAAAATTTCAAGAACAGCAGCATAACATCAGTTTCTGTCCTGATGGCCAAATGAATTTCTTTTACCATCAAGACCACAAGCAACTGTTAAAAATAGCCCTGTGACAAAAATCAAAGCTATTTTCTCCCAGCTTGCCAACAGCAACAGGAGACTGATCTTGTCCTTCCAGTCAGAGTGTTCCAAGCATGCTGAGCTTCCACATGCCAACCAAGGAGTTAATTAACAGTGCTGGCCTGTCCTAAGCAGGACATTAATGAAATGGAGTAAGACCAGAACACTCTTAACACTGCACACCATCTGGACATGAGTCATAAACAGGGTAATATGAGCCTGTGGAAAATTCATCAAGTGTCACCCAGCCCAAGGCCCTGGAGTCATGCCTGGCCCTGCCTTACCCTCCTTTGAGCTTCTTTTTCTTTGGTGTATCTTCTTCAGATGTTCTCCTGCCTCGACCACGAGAGCTTCTTTTGTCTTTCTGACTTCGTCCCTCTAGAAAGGAAAAACAACCCCATCACTTTATCTGAGTGGCAGAAACATCCCCAGCTGCTCTTTTGATGCATGAAATCCCTATTTAATATGCAACTGAGTAATCCTTATTATATATGTAATTGAATATGCTGCCTGAAATGCATTTTAAGCCAC